TGGGCACCAGACCTTCCTCTGTAGAGCCGAACTCTCGGGTTTTTTTTTTTTTTTTTTTTTGGAGGGTTGAGTTGTGCTCCTCTACCTCTTTGAATGGATTCATCTCGGTATATGAAAGCTAAGTAGGGCAGCTTGGCCATTTCATTTGAGTCTCTATAACAGTACTCTTAGGCTCTTTAGCTTCTCTGAGATATTGATACCGCTCTAAGTGCTTGCAAATCCCATAAGCTAAGCCGACTGATGCTGCCGGGATAACTCCGGGGGCCAAGTCCCACTAGCAGCGTTGAGCTAGCTCAACGCCTGAATCTGGACGTGTTTGTGAAGACGTGCAGTTCAGGAAACTCAACACCACTTCTGCACATCTCCGCAAAAGCGTCCACATTCAGGCGTTGAGGTAGCTCGACGCTGCTAGTGGGACTTGGCCCCGGGTTGAATTGTGAGGTCCCCGGCCTCCAAGGCTTTATATCATTGGAATTATTGTCAAAAAAAAAAAGAAAAAAAAGACGGAAGGTCTTGGGCCGCCACTCATCAAATCTGCAAAATAAGGAATGAAACTTCCTGAAAACATGGAAATATGCACCGCAGTAAGAAAAAATACAAAGACGGAAGAAGGCGTAGGCGGGCATCTCTCCACCGAGAACCACGGAGCCCAGACGGACAGTTCCCGTAGATAAACTATCTTAAGACTCCACTCATCATCCAGGTTTAATGAGTCGTCTGTATTCGTAGATACAGAAGAGTGTACGACCTACAAAACCGATCCTGTTCAAGTGCAGTCGTCCGAAGATAAACTAAGGGGACGAAGGAAACACGCAGGCGCACGGCTGCCCAGGATCTCGTGACAGACATCGGGTCTCAATCCTCTGCACAATGTCCTAAATGTATCCGGAACCCGTTGTGGTCTCAATACGTCCAACACGGTGACGATGACACTCTCCTCCCCCCTCCCCTCCCAAAGACCGTGGTTGCGCCACCACGCTTAGCGTGGTCTAACAGTAGCTGAGCCAAGTACTGGTGGTTTAAAATTGGAAAGATGCAGAGAAGATTCATGATTAGCATGGCCCCTGCGCAAGGATGACACACATAAATGCAGATTGGTCCAAAATTTAGGGGTATTTTGCCATACCCCTATGCTTTAGGGGTATCTGACTAATTACCCCAACTTCCAGGGGCATTTGCAACAATGTTCTGCAAACAGAAAATCACGGCGTATGCACATTGCCTTTACATCCTGAGGGTCTCCGCTCACATCTGAACATGACGAAGGGAAGCTGAGCATGGGCATTTTGCCATACCCCGGTGCTTTAGGGGTATCTGACTAAACAACCCAACTTCTAGGTGCATTTGCAACAATGTTCCCTAAAAGAAAATCACCGCGTATGCACATTGGCTTTACATCCTGAGGGCCTCCGCTCACCTCTGAACATGACGAGGGGAAGTTGAGCATCTCGTGGCCAAACTGTATTCCCCACGACAACGCCTACGGGCTGTGTTCAAAGAGCTGTCGCCGTGGTGACTCTCTCGCCGTGTGTGTGTGTGTGTGTATGTGCCGGCGGTGTTGTGCGTGAAGACGTGGAGAGTTCCATTCACAGTCGGTCCAAAAAGGAAATAGGTCAGTTCGTTCTATCCTCTCTCTCTCTCTCTCTCTCTCTCTCTCTCTCTCTCCTGTCTCTTATACACATCTAGATGTGTAACACCAAACAACTATATATACATAGGCTGA